CATATCTTCATCCCCTTTGTGATAAAATTTGAGGCTACAATGAGAATGCTAAACTGGCATGATCACTACTACCACTTGTTTTATGCTTTCTGCCTACTACTAGTACTAGCAGTACATCAGCTTTGATGACTGTCCAGTAGATTGTGAAAGGACTTTAAATCATTTTCCARAATGATCCATGGTGCTTCTTACTTTGTGAGAAAAATCCTCTTGACCTTTCAAAGAAGTCTAACAGTGATCCAGCAAAGTTATCCCAGGTTTTGATTTCCTGTCTATGTACACTTCTTGAGATAAGAAGGTCCTTGTGGATATCATCACCAGCCAGTTTTATTTACTACTACTAGTACTAGTACTATGATGCTGAGGTTGGCCGCACCTCCACAAACACTTCACAGAGGGAGACGCCACCCCTTGGAGGAGCTAGTACTAGTAGTAGGAGCATGCTTCTGCCAAGAAGTTATGGTTCTAGCAAACATAGTGCCTCTTTTAGTTCATGAGGTTAAATATAATATTAAGAAATTTTAAAAGTGTGGGGCTGAGATCATTTTTAATTTCTACTTGTAGTACTACTACTACATGCATGTAGTACTTGCCTTCAAAGTGCATTATTATCCTCCTCCTCCTTTTCTTTTACTACTACTAGTACTAGTACTAGTACCACAGCAAGAAAAGAAGAACCAACAAGAACAAGCGAGCACTACTAGTAGTATTAGTACTAGTACCAACATAATTTTCATCACTGCTTGTTGTTCCTGATTGCTGTTCCTTGTTAGTACTACTACTACTAGCACTTCCAATAATCATGTACTATGTTGGTGTTACTAGTAGTACTATTTCTTGTTCTTGTTCTTGTTGTTCTTGTTGTTGCTGGTTCTTCTTCCATTTTAGCGTACTAGTAGTTGCTGTGGTGCTGTCTGCTGCTTTTCTTTTGTTGTTTTTGTTGTTTTTCCTTCTAATTTTACTAGTACTAGTAGTAAGTAATAAATTGTACTACTACTAGTAGTAGAAGTAGTAGAATTAGCAGTGCTACAATTACTACTGCATCCTTGTAAGTGGTACATAATCAAAATTCCTAGTGTGGAAATTTCTTTGGTCCCGCCAGCCTCACCCTGCTTGAAYAATTTTGATGCCGTTTGTTACATTCTTGAAAAAAATATCAGCATTTCCGATACTCCTAAATTGACCGTCACGCGCTTTATTGATCTGAGTAGTATGTAGATATTAGATATTAMCACTATTTCTACGCACTAAGAATTCCTGTACCGTAATTATTTCCTGACAACATAATTTTTAAAAGCAGCATGCATCATCGTGCCGTACCCGAAATATCAATTACGATAATTATTATCAATATGCATTGAAATATTTTTATCATTCCTTCTGAAAATCGAATCGTGTAGCTGAGCATTAATTTTTCAAAGGTCTTACGTTATGTTCCTGATCGTATTTTKGGTAGTATTTTATACGTCAGAATAAAATTCAATGGTACCTTGTCAGACTGTTTATGCAATATTGAAACCCGCACTTGTCCTTCAAATGTCATTTGAATCTYGAAGATTGTTCTTACACTAAGGAAGAAATTTTATCACAATACCCAAACTGTGTCACATTTTCCTCGAAGCGGGAATCATTTTCTTGGAGGCATTGGAAGTCATCCRASGTCGCAAACAAAATTCGATGTACTGGAACCTACTGATTCACACCGTAGCTRGCTCTCAATTGCAAAACATTTATYACAGGGTTCGTTTTAGACATTTTTTTTCCGTCGCGTGCACGAACATTCTTATTGCTTTTAGAACGCTCCAAGAAATGGCTATAACAAAAGTACGACCCGAAAATAAAAATCCGAGATGTTTTCAGTCTATTTGATCTACTGTCACTCAATTTGAAATTTCCTTCGCGTGATCGGAAAAATGCCGAACCGTTTTCAGGTACGTCTGACGGACTTGTGCGTTGTCTTTTTTGACCAAGAATCGCATGCATTTTGGGCAGGACGACGGCAGCTTAAAAATTCTCGATCGTTGAATGGGCTCGAGCTTTATTGACGAGTCTCRTTTTGCCGCTACCAAAGTAATATTTGAAAGAGAAACACACTGTGCACTACTTCAATTACCCGCCACACAATACAGTACTCTATATTTGGATGCATTGTCCCCGATACGGTAAGCAAATTGTTGCATCTGATGAAYATTATTCCTTTTCAGCGTCCAATACTGTGATTCTGAAATATTCTAATTTCATTTGCAATTTTCSGGTAGATATTTTAGCAATGGAAGAAGATAAATTCAAGAACGAATACAAATACCGTCCGTCTCATCATCTTCGACCATACCAGCATCATCGGAGAACGCAAGCATATCARTTTGACAATGGATCTCAATCACAACTTCTGAAAAAAGAGACCTTGAAACGAACCCACCCGTTCTTGGAGAATTTAATTAATACGACGTCCATCCAYGACGATGAAAARACCGCTTTTGCTTCATCGAATTCTTCCACGAATTTTATTAGTGGTAGCAATTCTTGTGATCAAAATGTAATACATGTTCGGAAGAACAATTGTATCCGAGGGATGGTAGCGGTAAAGAATCATTTACGAGGGATGGTGGCTGTCAAAGACGATGACGAAAAGTGCTATCTCAACGATRAAGATCACAGCAATAAAGATCATACAATTGTCCGAGGGATGACAGCAATCGAAAACGATGGCGATCATAATTCCCCATCCGTCAATAACAACAATATTCACTTGGATATTTATGATAATTATGCTCCTATCTCCAGCACGAAAGATTCAAACTCGAAGACGAGTCGATTGCTCGAAGAAGTCAACGATTTATTCCATGACTAYGAACGCCGATTTTATCGCCAATCCTTGACCGAACGGGCCAAGGAACTTCTTGATCGGGCTAGAAAAACAAACACGTTCACAAGCGACGTCATTGGGAACAGGGAAAAGCTTGCACTCTGCACAGAGGCCCTGAAACTATGCAGACAAGCAAACAGGGATCAAGAAGAAGCTTTGCACGGCAACGATCATAACCACGTTGGTGGCTCCTACCTGGTTACTGGTGACATTCGCATCCGCTACAAGGGAGAACTCCTTGCCGCAAAAATTYATTGTGTTCGTGCAAGTGTCCTCTATCGAACGGGAGAATACTCAGACTGTTTGGAAGATTGCGATGCCGCYATCGCCATATGGAACCAACACGAGCAGCGCTGCTCGTCGACGTCTTCTAGGGCATTCGGTGTCTTCAAAAGACGAACATCTTCAGTTCGAACCATGCAAAGAAACAAAATGCTCTCATCAGATCGGTGCTCGTCGCCAAGAAGTGCGCAAATCAAACCCAATTCTATGCTTTCAAAAGGAAAGTTGTCTCACAAGCACTTGTACATACTCCGAGGTCGTACCCTGGCAGCAATGGGTCGTTACAAGGAGGCGACGGGATGGCTCACTCATCCCAACGAGCTTCCGGTTCGAAAATTTCACGGTACGAGTCAGCTTCTGCAAAACGACGGAGTCATGTTCAGCGTGATTGACCAAATCGCTTGTCGCGATCGCAGGGAATTGGATACGGAACAGCACCTGCAACATCAGAATTCAGATCAAAATGCTGTCGTCGAAACAATACCTGTCTTTCCTACGAAGAAACAAGARCAAAATAGAGTCATTGTGCCTACCAACAAAAAGCTATGGGCRCATCTTCTTCATAGCATAGACCAACGTCTTACTCGGGGCACAGTAAGGTCCGATGGTTGTCTAACTACGACTTCGCCATCTTGCATTTCGGRCAAAACTACTGGCAGCAGCAATGCCATTTATCAGATGCTGCGATATGGRCCWGCGTTGTTCCATCACTTCGAGGAGGAACCCAAATTGYTTACAACTGYAAYTACAAAGCTTGGTGGTGGAGAATAATGAYACACATCGCAAWACTYCCACCSCTAGGGTCGATCGATAATCCCAGGAATAATCTGCCGAACGGCCTTCTTGTTATAATTCAAAAAATGTCCATCCCTGTACAGGACGAAAGAAGTACCACAAAATGCCCAACCATTTCTTTGTAATCGATAGACTGAGCAAAATTTTAAAACAATAAAAAAAAATCAGCAGGTATAGCGACAAGACCTAATTTAAATGTCTGATTCAAAGAGAAGAGGAGAAACTTTTCAATGAATACTATTGTAACAGCAAAAGGCATATCATGCATAATTMAAATGATACGCAATGAAACAGCGCCTCTGTTGTCGAAGCAATTGGACACTACAGCAAGCGCGAGAACTAGAATTTGTTTTATTGTACTACAAATTGCAAATTGATTCCTGTCGAGAATATTGCAACCATTGAATCTGCTGATTTAATAATGCCATGGATATTACAGGGAAACGAATAGAAAATCTGATGCAAGTCGCTTTAAGCAAACAAAATGTTGATCTGTTGATTCCATTGCATGATTAAATTGCATCATGCAAGGTCAGACTATTATCTCTCTTTGAAATGCATTTTGTTCTCATCTACGACTTCTGTTGTATTGAATAAACAATGTTCTATTCTTGGATCGCTATTGTTTTCCCAATCCCACTCAATTCTCAATTCTCGTATATTTATTCTTATTTCACATCCACAGCCTTTTTTGCGATTTCTGAATGACAGGTAATATATAGTTCCTATACTCCCGAGAGAGATATAATTCGAACTTTTGAACCGGACAAGTCCGATTCGAGCCCAATTTCCACGCTTACTAATACTGAGGTTGCTGTTGCTGTTGAGCCTTCTTTTCCAGGCGCCCCGTAATGAATTCATTAGTGTCCATCCACTTGTTGACGGTTGCCTTAACGCAAGCCACCTGGGATCCCGTRAGCGTCTCGCTGGGTTTGGAGGTAATGCATTTCTCGTAAGAYTTGTCCGACAAATCGTTAATAACCTGCTGGACCAACATCTGCTGTTGTAGCATCATGCTCATCTGCTTCATTTCAGCGGCACCGCTGCTGCCGATCCCTCCGATGTTTCCTCCGCCCCCGCCACCCGCGGCCATCATATTGGCACCGCCGCCGTATCCGGCAGCGTCGTCGGACGTGAACGACTTGCCCTCMCCGCCACCGCTGCTTGCGCTGTCATCGCTACTTCCACCAAACCAGCCCATTTTAAAACGGTAAATCGAATAGATCAAGTATTGGTCAACCACAAATATTTGCGTTACGATATTAACAACAGTCGTTCGTTGCTTGTGACGTTTGATATTTTTGTCGTCKACAAGTTTCTTCTCACTTCTCGTTCATCCGGTTTGTCATGATCGGGAACCGTTCCATGGTGTTGTCGGTTGTGTGAGGCTCAATGTCTGTCCGTCCTTCTTCAAAACCCGAGCCTTAAGAGATTAAGAGACGCCTACTTCAGTTCTGTACTCGTACTCATAAACACTATTTCTAGTAGTAGCAGTCATACTACTACTAGTAGTGCCATTGATCATACAAATTATCAGAAACCTCTTTGAAGAAAGATGTTTTTCAGATGATTAACAATGTAGAATAGTAATAATAGGGCATGGTGGCGGTACCTTGTTCTTCTTGTACTTCTAGTACTAGTAGTAGTACTAGTAGTAGTAGTAATAGTACTACTAGTACTAGTACTAGTACTATTATCTTACTACCCCGTCTCCTGTTTGTTGGTGGTTTCCTTTGTCATTCTATTGAATGCTACAAATCCTCCAGTTGCACCACCACTGCCACAATCACCACCATGTTTGGATTGCCTTAGCAAGGATTTCTTATTGCTTAGTACTAGTACTAGTAGTACTACTACTAGTCCTAGTAGTAGTAGTGATAGTAATACTACTCCCTATTAGCTCTAGTAGTTGTTGTTGTTCTTTGCACTATTATGCTATTAGAATCTAGATTTTTTGGTGCTTTTACAAGTATTATTACTAGTACTACTACTAGAAGTAGTAGTTGTAGTACTAGTAGCTACAAGTGGTTTTCATTCTCCATCATCACCATCCTCGGGTGGAATAGTAGTTGGAGAAATATCCTCCTGGCTGTCCCTGGAATAGGTATTCTGGGTGGAAGTGGCATCAATAACATCAGTCCTGTTTGTAATTGCAGAACATGATCTCCCTTCATTGACATCATCTTCATTTTCTTTAAAGAATTGGGAGTGTGGGTCCCAAACTGGTGATCTTGCTGTTGCAACAACATACTAATCACACTCATACAGTTCCTTATCCATGGGTCATCATGAAGGGAAACATGAAATTACTCCATTCATCTGGAATGGAATATATAAATCAATGTTGTCATCAGTAGAAACAAGTGACTTTCTGTGTGTTGAAGCAGTATCAAATTGCCTTGGTGTATCATCAATTTTATTGAAGTTGCAAYCAAGGAGCTGATTTRGACAAATTAAACTGTGTTAAAGTTTATTGCCAAAGTAAAGTGCTTGGTGAAAAACAACARTCCAAGTCCTTCCATCAGCATCATCCCATGCTGTAACACAAGTACCAATGGGGACATTCTTGATAGGATCAWACTCAGAGGAGAAAGGCACCACATCACGATGTATTTGAACTTTGGCAGGAGGTGTCAACATTCTCATATTGGATCCACATGCAGTTGTGTATTCATGTGAGTCCAACTCAAAGAGGCTTTCACCTGTTGCTGTAGAAGAAATCKCAGACACTCTTACATCCATCTGCTGGTATTGCCAGCCCTCAAGAAATTTGAGAGACCAGCAAATGGTTCATTCAGAGTGAGCTTGATCCAAACTGATTGCCAATATCCCTTCCTCTAAGTTCATGTTTGCCCTCCTCACCTGGAGCAACAACAGCAACAGACTTGCTTGTTGAATTAGTAGCAGAGATATTCACACTTTTTGGTCAAATTGCCTGGGGCTTTTCTTTTTGCTCTCCTGGTGAAAAAATATTCAGCAGTCCAAATGGATGCGTACGTACTATGTTGAATCGATACATACGTGCTATGTTGAGAGCATACGTACATACAATGCTCCCTCGGAATAGATTGACATACTATTCCTACCTACAAATCATAAGGTTCTATTCATTTATATGTATTATACAATCCATCATATTGAGGATCATAAGAGGTCCAAGATATCCAGAGATAGAATATCTTACGAAGAACAAAGATGTCACGAGTTCTGATTAGTAAGAACCCTGTGTAGATTCAGTACCAGATCTACATAAGGAACTAATTGGAACTTTGGAAATCTCACATCAAGGTACGATAATCTTAATCTTATAATATTATTTCTTATACACTTAAAGTACACGTAATCTTGTGCAAGCAGGACCTTCGAAGGTTTTGCCACTTGAGTTTTTAGTGGAGTTTCCATTATGGTGACCTCAATTGTTGCTGCCCCTTCCACCACCATTCAAGTTTTATTGAGATTGTTGTTATTCTTTTGTTGCCTTCTTTTCCCATAGCCATCCTCAGAAGAAGATGATGTAACTGCTGAACTGATGTTTCTTCTCTTAGAATCCTTCTGTCTTGTACTAGTAGTACAGAGAGATGTTGTCAAATGCTCAGTAATCTTGATGAAGTTCCCAGTTTCCAATCCTATTAAAGAAGAAAGCCTGGAGTATATGCTACATACATACTCTAAAGAAGATTCCCCAACCATATCTCCATGCAGTTCCTACAGTATTCCAGTATTATTTACAGACTGGAAGAGTTTTCCAGTGTTGTTGTTGTAGTTTCCAGCATTTGTGCTGGAAAGCACCAATAACAACAACAACCCCAGCTGATAATGCCTACTAGACCAGTATCACTCCCAGTAATATTCCCCCCCCCCAGTTGAGTACAGTTTGCCTCAGCTGGATCCATCCCCAGTTCTCAAGGACCAGAAGCGCAGTGCTTCCAGCAGTCACAATTGTTGTTATTTCCGGCATCTGTGCTGGAAAGCAACAGCAACAGTACCAACCCCAGCCCCCAGTATTCAATCCAGACCTATCCTTTGAAGAACAATGCTTGGAGTATATGCTACACATACTCAGTTTAAAGATCCCCAGCCTTATCTCCATGCAGTTCCAGTTTTATTTACAGACCAGCAGAGTTTTCTGGTCATGTTGTTGTTGTTTCTGGCATTTGTGCCAGAAAGCAACAATGACAATCCCAGTACGATTTCTCCCAGTTGAGTGCTTTGCCTCAGCTGGATCCATCCCCAGTTCTCAAGGACGGGAAGAAGCCCCAGTGCTTTTGATCACGATTGTTGTTGTTTCTGTCATTTGTGTTGGACAGCAACAACAACAACCCCAAGTGTTTACCCTGGTAACTAGATTTGTTGGTTTATCCCCAGTTTCTTCTTCAAGAAGATGCTCAAACAGCTGCTCTTTTGGGTGGGCTCAGCTGTGATTTGGTGAAAGAAGTGAGACRTTTTTCTTTTTTCTTTTTGGCTTTTATTTTTTTTATTTTTTATTTTTGACTACTCCACTACATGTGTCCTCGCCCACTGGGTAGCCCTTGCCTTAATTGGCTTGGCAGTGTGCTTGGCACACATTTCCTTGATCACTGCATGTCATGACTTGCCTTCGGGCTTGGCAGTGCCCTTTGAAATGACATTGGCATGGTTCTCATCCAWCCAAACTGTGAACCAACTGCTTTTATGCCCCCTGAATCCAGCCTCTGGCCTTCATTGGCCTGTCAGCGTGCATAAAACTTGGTGGCACCTCCACAAAACCTCCTTGGAGGGAGGTGCAGCCCCTCGGTGCAGCTAGGAGCATTCTTCTCCTCCMTAGTCCCGAGAGGCTCTGGTTCTGGCCATATAGTGCCTCTTCTAGTAGTTCACGAGGTTAAATATAATATTGAGATTTTTTTTAATCTTGATGAAGTTCATGTGATCTGGATGGTCAACGCCTTTGATTCTATGAGCAGTCTMAATAAGTCTTCGATCCTGGATACTAGTAGCACAAAAATCATAACAGTATAGTGTTAATGTTATTTGAGGTACTGCGTGTCTGTTGTGTGCCGAACGTAAAGTTGATAAATGTTAAACCCATTTAAGCTAATTTCTCGTAAACTTAACCCGTACCATGAAACAAAYTCGCACACTCCGATGGATATAATTTACGCTTCGACGATTTTTTTGGAAAAARGTGACAATGAAAAATATCAAAAAGCATCGAAATGTTAACAAACATCAACGAAAWGGTCATAAATTTAATCTCCTTACTCTGTCTATCCACGAACGAATGACACTTGCGATAAATCACGGCGTCTTCGACCGATGCTTGTACTACAGCAACTAACAGTTGCGATCCATACCCAAATTCAAAWTTTTTGTTCTCCTTYTCGCTATGGRTAGATATTACTGGTGTGCTACGACACTAAGATGAAGGAATGACTTGTGATACTGAGCCGTGATAAAACAGATTCCCAAAGAAGACAATTTCCCCATKGYATTCGCCAATTTTAGGCACTATGAAACTACTCCCGCAAAAAATGCCGTGATGAGTAAATAATACAATGGAGAGCGATSGCATTAGCCTCTTATCGAGACCTCTGTCAATCGAGACAAAGATTTCATAAAAYATAACCMACACAGATTGAAATCCGCGTTGCCTACTCGACATTTCCGCACAACGAAATTTGGAATTCCGCATTGCTACAATAATGAAGTCCTTCTCTACAACCCTTGTTGCACTCAATGCCCTCCTCTTGGCATCTTCGACAGTCGAGTCAAGCCGCCTACTTGAAGATTCTGCAATCTACCCCGATGGAACTCCTGTTTCATTCTTCGAAGACGACAAATGGTACGACGGTGTCGTAGAAAAATATGAAGGCGGAATCTACACCATCAAGTGGGACGAAGACGACGAATTSGAAGAAATCGAAGTAGGTTCCGAGATGGACCAGCTGGTTGATGACGGCATGGGCGACGACGACGCACCMCCTGCCGGCATTGTTCTTTCTGACGGAATCGCCATCGGGACTCCTGCCTTCATCTGGGATGATAATCAATGGTTCGATGGAGCAATTACGGATCACTCGAACGGCGAATATRCCGTCGTGTGGTCTGATGGAGATACTGATACATACAAAGACGAAGGAGACGACCTCAAAGAACTCCAGCAAGCTATCGAAGACGCTATGGGTGACGACGACGAGATCACAGACGATGAAATTGCTTCACTTGACAACGAAGAAGCTGCCACAACCGACAGCGATGACGCTGAAGACGTCATTGAGGCCTCTGAAGATGTCGTCGAGGCCTCTGAAGATGTTTCGGAAGTAGTTTCTGAAGATGACTCAGAAGATGTCTACGATGATGATGCTCCTTACGACGATGCTGTTGAAAATACCGACGATGCTTCTGAAGATGTCGCCGATGACGATGCTGCCTTCGACGACGATGCCTCTGAGGACTCTGAAGACTCCGACGCCATCTCTGTGGGAACAGCTGTTTCAATCTATGACAATGATACATGGGTCGATGGACAAATCATTGATCATGCCGACGGTGTATACACTGTTGCTTGGAATCAAGACACCGACAACGAATACATCGATACATACGATGATGAAGGAGAGGATTTCGAAGAACTCAAGTTGGCCGTCGACAACTCCTCGGGCGACGACGACGCCGCTCCTACCGATTACGAATACGTTCCTCCTGCATGGGAAATCGGAACACCCGTCAGCGTCAACGAAGACGATGCGGAATGGTACGGTTACATTGCAGACTACTTCAACGGTGAATACTCGATCGCATGGGATGATGGAGAGTCGGAGTGGATCGATGACATCGAAATCGTCGCCATGCTGGTAGCGGATGCCAAATCTTCTTCGGAGGATATGCACATCTCTGGACAGATGCTMATCGGTATTGGTGTCGGTTCCGTTGTTCTTCTCGCCGCTGTCGCCCTGTACAACCGGCACAAGAAAGGCAGCAGCAAKTCTTCACGACGACGAGCTTTGCCARTACCTTCGGGTTCTGCCTACAAAGACAGACCAGGACGTGGAGAAGCTAGCTACTACAAGAAGCAAGAGCAAAATCTTCGTATCGTTTAAAATTGATTCTTGGCAAAACAATTTTGAATCAAGAAAGTAGGAGCCTTCTTTCATGGACTTCACATAGCATTGCGAAAGTYCTGCCGATTACATGTCACAGCGTTAGTAGTATYTGTATCGTAACATATCATAACACAAACATTACCAAGAATTAAAACGATCTAGTTTCACACGTCGTGTTRGACAGGTCATGAGATTGCATTGATCCCATACATCTATTGGCCAAATCCAAACCAACAGAACRGATGACCAGATTGTCAAAGCGGTCGACMTCTCTGAAATCTAGGTAGCTCCCCATGGACTTGGATTGATTTTGTCCTCTTSGCTACAAATCCAACGATGACAATAGTAAAAGCACATACTACAAGTTTCATAACAATTGCATACCGGTATGGTCTCACCAGTGAGCAAAAACTTTTCATTTGAAGTTGTAAACTTTGATTTGCAGGTATGAACTTTTGCTCATRYAAYTTTTGCTCTTATATGTACCAGGTTCTACTGAGCTGTTTTTAAAATATGACTGAATGGCCAGATTGCTTTCCCTCAAAACAAAAAATGGTTCAAGGTCATTCAATCATGAATCAAGCCTTTCAGTAATGAATGACCATTGAGTCATTTCCAATAAGTAGCTCAGTAGAACAAAATAGAATTTCTACTATGACATGTGAAGTTCATAACTTCAAATTGAAGGTTTATAACTTCAAATTGATACTTTTTGCTCACTTGTGACACTGTATGCAATTGTTATGAAACACATAGTAATGTACTGAGCTGCAAAATAAATCAATTTGAAATAAATTAATTTGAAAATCCATATTTTCAAAATATTAATGGTTTTGGTGCACTAAGGGGACTAGTAGTACAAGTATATATTGGGTGCCATTTCTAATACCTCAAACAATATGATAATGGAGATGAGATTCAACTTCCAGCCATGCAAAAAGCCAAAAAATTAAAGTTATATTTGACCTCATGAACTGGTAGGAGAGGCACTATGGTGATGGCCAGGGTCATATTAAACCAAATGAGATGCATTTCTCCTAGTCACTCCAAGGGGCAGCACCTCCCTCTGAGAAGGTTTGGTGGAGGCATGACCAAGTCACCTAAGAAGCAACCAATTACTATTTGTAAGTTCTGCTATACTAGTACCATACTTTCATACAAAATAATTAACAATATTGTTATTAGTACTATCATGGAACTACTAGTCAGCCAAGAATGTAGGTCGTAACAAGCATGTACTGCCAATATCAAAAATAATTGAAAAAAGACAGTATTACTATAATATTGTATTTAACCTCCTCTGCATCTAAAATACAAGGCACTAGTAGGAAAGCTCAAACCATTACTTTGTTTTTAGAAGATTTCTTCTAATACTAGTAGTAGTAGTAGTAGTTGCACCAAAGTGCAGCACCTAGTACTAGTAGTAGTATTACCACCACCAGCAGGAGAGCCCCCAATTGCCCACCAATATAAAAAATTCATACAAGGCAGAATGCAACGTCATCATTGCCAGCTATCCATGGTGGCAAGTATATCCCCTATTAAAAATTTTCTTGTTTTGGGGGCATAGATAGATCTATTTTAGGGGGAGCTTGACCACAGCATCAATTAACTTTTAAGCAACTACTATTCATGTAAATTAATCAAGAGTATTAACAATTTTTTAATAGCCTTAATAAACTTCCATTAATCAATTAATTAATATTATTTCTAACAGCAGTACCGTGGTTACAACGGTTGTAGTATGGTAACACTTGCTTCTTAGAAGAACAGGAGTGCTCGTCACATAAACCGTTTTCATGGTGTCGCGCTAATCGCGCGGTGAAGGAGCCTCTAATTTCGTAGTTACCCCCNATACTACAAGTTTCATAACAATTGCATACCGGTATGGTCTCACCAGTGAGCAAAAACTTTTCATTTGAAGTTGTAAACTTTGATTTGCAGGTATGAACTTTTGCTCATGCAATTTTTGCTCTTATATGTACCAGGTTCTACTGAGCTGTTTTTAAAATATGACTGAATGGCCAGATTGCTTTCCCTCAAAACAAAAAATGGTTCAAGGTCATTCAATCACGAATCAAGCCTTTCAGTTATGAATGACCATTGAGTCATTTCCAATAAGTAGCTCAGTAGAACATAGTAGAATTTCTACTATGACATGTGAAGTTCATAACTTCAAATTGAAGGTTTGTAACTTCAAATTGATACTTTTTGCTCACTTGTGACACTGTATGCAATTGTTATGAAACATATAGTAATATACTGAGCTGCAAAATAAATCAATTTGAAATAAATCAATTTGAAAATCCATATTTTCAAAATATTAATTGTTTTGGTGCACTAAGGGGCTAGTAGTACAAGTATATATTGGGTGCCAATTCTAGTACCTCAAACAATATGATAATGGAGATGAGATTCAACTTCCAGCCATGCAAAAAGCCAAAAAATTTAAAGTTATATTTGACCTCATGAACTGGTAGGAGAGGCACTATGGTGATGGCCAGGGTCATATTAAACCAAATGAGATGAATTTCTCCTAGTCACTCCAAGGGGCAGCACCTCCCTCTGAGAAGGTTTGGTGGAGGCATGACCAAGTCACCTAAGAAGCAACCAATTATTTGTAAGTTCTTCTATACTAGTACCATACTTTCATACAAAATACGTAATTAACAATATTGTTATTAGTACTGTTATAGAACTACTAGTCAGCCAAGAATATAGGTTGTAACAAGCATGTACTGCCAATATCAAAAATAATTGAAAAAAGACAGTATTAATATAATATTGTATTTAACCTCCTCTCTACTTGGCTCAAAAGTAATAAATCTATGATGGAACTCAAGAATAAAAATTCAAGTTTGTTGAAAGACTCAACAGAAAGGCCTGCCAAAATTAAGACTTGGTTGTTCTCAACAACAACAGAGGCACATATCAAGTGCCTTTTTTAACAATGGTGCCTCTATTAACAATGGCACCTATCTTACAACATGAGACATAAAACAAAGAATGATTAATGCAGTATTCTTAGTCAGCTCATTCTATTTCCTGTCTTTGTTCCAGTAACGAGCAGTGCACAAGGAATTGGCCAGCCGCAACAACAACAGATATTATTGTTGTTGTTACCTGATCCCCCATAATATTTATGTTTTGATGGATCCAACTGCAGGCAGTGGCGGTGCTGGCAGCCAAAAAGCCAGTACTGCAAACTACTAAAGAGACAAGCTCAAAAGTCTCATGTCATTAATACTGGAGGAGAAGCTCCCCATTGATACCAAACAATGGGATGACACTGTGGCCAAGCATGCAAAAGTGTGGCCATCCCACAGAAGCCAGAAATCCATCAGGACTAAATACTCATCTCTTATGAGGAAGACGGAGAGCCCCACTGGTAATCCAAATATGCCAGAGTATGTGAAGAAGGTAAGGAAGGCCCATATCTTGATAGGTCAAAAGGAAAATCTTGGTACTGGAGAGGAGGACTTTGATATGAAGGAAGGATTCATTAAGAGTGAGGCAGTGGAGGGTTCAGTGCTCAAAACTGCTGATGATCTTGCTGATGGAGCATCTGATAGAGCATTGATTATTATTGCTGGAAAAGCATCAACTGTCAGAGGAGTGTTGACAATTGATGCTGTTGGAAGAGCATTGACTTTTGCTGCTGCTGTTGGTGCAGGACCATTGACTGTTGCTAGAGGTGGAGGATCCCCAATGTCAACTGTTGTTGGAGTACCAACAGGCTTGTTGGTCTTGACACCATCTGTAGTAAATTCAACCCCTAAGAAGAGATCTTACCATGGTGGTGCAAAGAACAACTCTGGTTTTCCAAATGCTGCTGAATTTAATAATTATTTGACATATGCAAGTGAGACTAATGAGATGTGGAAGGCAGCTCTTGGCATTGCAATGAATATGTTCAACCAGTGGCAACAAAATAACAACCCACCACCTCCTGCTGCTTACCACCATTGTTGTCAGCCGCCAGGCACTAGTAGTACTCCCCAGCAGCAGTCTAAACACCAACACAATGGGGAGGATGCTGTCCATAGGATATCAGATCATGGGTATAATTCATATCTACAATATATACATATAAAACATACCTATGATTCATACACACTCTACATTCATGACTCACTCAATCCTATGGATCCACATGCAGGGGTCATAAATTAGAGGGGTGCACAACGCCTGCAAAGACGTGCAGTGTTTTCCAGCATTTTTTGAAAAACTCATATTCCATGTCAGGCACCAATAAGAAAAATTTCCCTCCAGGGATTTTTTTTAATTCATTTTTACTGCATAATACTAGTAAAACTATCCAACCTTTAAGCAGTTACTACAACATTATCAAAAATACTAACATTATAATTTTTTATTACACTCTCTAGCCCATTTTTTCATGAGGATTCTGAATATGCCAATATTTTATGTATCAAATGGAATGATAGTGTACCTTTTCACTGTTGAATATTGACTAAATTATTAGTAGAAATTGCTACTGGGAAAACAGTGGGAGAAACGGATGAAGGACAGACAGTTCGAATTTTTGCTAAGGACTAGACTGGTGGGACTGACTGGACAAAGGACAGACTATTTCTACTGTAAATACAGTACCAGGCTGTTACTACCACCAGCCCTGTATCAGCACCTTAAAAGTTTGAACTGGAGAGAGCAATAACAGTGAAAATATACTTACTAGTACTTGACACTCAACTATGAGAGATGTGCATGTGAAGTTCGAAATCAGAGAGTGATTGGAAGTGTTCCTGTGCATGGCGGGGTCTTTCAGGTTCACTTTTTGCAGTGGTATGCAATAATAATGAAATCCCAAAAAATCCCTGGGGGGAAATTTTTCTTATTGGTGCCTAACATGGAATATGAGTTTCGACGCAATGCGTACCCCTCTAAATTATGACCCCTGTCCACATGATCGGCATGACTTGTTTGATTCACTGAAGTGACTGACTTGGCTTATTTGATTCACACATCACTTGATCTTCATTCTGATCAACCTTAGATTTCATACTAGTTCATTGGTCCTTGATAAGAGCATCAACTCACTTTTCTTCTACTACTAGTAGCTACCACTACTAGCACTCAATTTACATCCTTAAATGGAGTAGTATTAGATAGTCACTCCCACAAGTCCCCCTGCTGGTGCATGAAACACTATTGTTGGAATTTCTTGATATAACTACTAAAAGAATAATTCAAATTGCCCAAATTGCACAAATATTGAGCTTATTTCATTAGACAATATGCTAGTGGTGGGACACCCACTGCTACTATTACTAGTAGCATACTATTAGAACTGTACTCAATCTGTTATCTAACTWATGCGTATCGTACTCAACAGATGTATGATACGTATTATGATGCTATCGTGACCGCGGTGAAGATTGAAGATCCAGCAACTTCCAAGTCGAAGACGTTCAACGCTCGTCTGATTCCAATCGGAAGACGTCCCTTTCTGTTTTTAACGTTTTAACGGACGAAGACGATGAAACCTGAGATTTCGTTCACACCTTCATAAATTTGGAAAAAACAAGAGATTTATATCAGAGAAAGAAACACGTTCATCAGTCTTACAGGTCTACAAGATCACAGTAATAGATCCCATAGAATAAAAGGAACGCATCATAAWCAACATTGCACTACTTTTTATTGCTTTGGGCCCACATTGTTGTGAACATCGAAAGCCATGGCATCGTATGCCTTCTCASGGGATGGGGAGTACCTCCGAAAACTTTCAAATGGAAAAWTTCARAATCAATTTCGGGGTAATGGCCCCTTCGTAGATGCAACCGAAACCTTTTACTCTGAATTCAGTTTGGCGTGGAGATTCTTGGGATTTTACACGGATTGCGACGTCTGCRTCGAGGGTGCTGGCGATGAAGACAATGGAGATGACGACGCAAATAAAGCCGAAGAAGACGGYGGAGACGAAAATTTCGTCTCTTCTTCTGGGTGCTTRGAGAATGGCGAAGATCGCACAGTCTGTCGCCGATACGCCCTCTGGGCGGCCTATATTGACCAGGCCTATGAGGGAGATGGTGCKAGCGAATACCAAYACTTTGACCACCGGACGAAACGCTGGGACCGATCAGCCTGTAATAGTAGTGAAGGACGCTGCGCGAAACTAGACTGCCACAATCCTTCAAGCAAGAACTTCAAACTGATCGGAGTCTTCAAGGATCCAAAAATARRTGMCTTCATCGATAATGTGATTGACTATCAGGGAGATTGCGTTTGGAGTGATGACGAATACAAATTCATGAAAGCAATGACCTCSAGCTACAATGAAAAAAACGACGAAAACAATGACTACACACTCAACTTCTCTGGGCCACCCACAACATGTACACCATATCAAGTGAAAGGAGARGACGGAATTACTTACTCTGGTTATTATGATGCTATCCCCATTTCGAAGGGAAACATGGGCMTCGCACTCTACACTGATTCTGAATGCACAGAGTCGTATGCAGGCAAGACGCATTCYGTTGAAGACGTTATGGCACGGTCCATGGGTAGCACGAGTAGTGTGATTGAAAGGAAACTCAARTCTTGGAATGAGGCAATGGATGCCTTGAAAGTTTGCCAACCTTGTGTGGCCTACAGCACTTTGGGTAACAGTTCAATGCAACCCTACAATGCAAACGGAGATCGGTATTCGATAGACAACGAGAACGSCGATGATGGCGACAACTTTGTCTGTMGAGATAATTTAGAACGTGACGAACCTGTCAATCAATGCGAAGTGTTTGCAGAACAAGGACGGGATAGTATGAGAGTTGCAACCTATCGTGACATTTTGCGTACGTACAACCAAATAATAACAATGGTCGATATTCATGGTCAAGTGGTTCTATCTTCCCTAAAATACTTCTACGATTGTTCTGTGGTTTGTTCTAATCTCACTTCGGCTTGCTCCACATGCTCATATCTATTGTAAAACAGTTGCCGAATCCCAAGGAACGGTTACCGGTATTGACCTTTCGTCGTATAGCAGCAATCGCCGCGGCAAAATGGTACTGGGACACACCTTTGTGCAGCCTAATCACATCTGGTTCTCGGTTTTCTTTTTTTTGTTGTCAATGGGATTCTTYGGATATGCTTTGGTTCAACTCTTCGAAAAGGATCGTTCGAAGCACCGATCGAATAGCAAAAATATGAATGAGCCATTGGTAGGAATGGAAATCACCAGCAAAAAGAACAAAAAAGAAAATATTGGAGCTGGAAGAGAACAAAAGTCAGCAGAAAAGGCCCAGAGGAAAGCAAAACTTGGGAAACAAGATCAGGAGCAAAAAAAGAAATTACCGAAAAAGTCCATTCTGAAGAAGCCAAAGAAGCTTGACGAAGAGGATGATGATAGTCATTCCTATAGGCACTTTGGTGACGATAGTAGCTTTGGTACTAAACAATGAACACTTAAATGCGTTAAATGCGAGGTAACTAGATGGCACATATTTTGAATGACATTCTAATATACTAGAGCAACAGCAACTAATTTGATAATTCTGTCACARTGGGAAATGGAATTCAATGAATACAATATAAATGAAACTTCAATGAATATTGATTCACCAACACTTGTAAACACATCATTACATGTATCGATACCAACTTTGCTCTGGCTGAGCAACCAACAGTCTAGTGGTGACTTTGCGATGAYGAGATAGCTCAAGATTTCAAGAGGCTGTTCATCACATAGCTACTATATTAATCACGTCTGTAGTAGATGGCACCAAAGAGACTTCAACACAAGTAGCATTGATTGTACACATWCATTATTACCGACTTGGGAGCCAAGTGTAGATTGCTTCATGAGCTGTTGTATGAAGACCTCTCTAGGGTGCAATACGTCCATCCATATCAATACTACTTTTGTCATGAGATTGAGCAGCTATCACCATCTTTCCGGTGATATATAGCACACTGGATTTTGCATTTAGGGAATACGTAGTACTATTCAGCACAGCATAGTATTGCTTCACTCTTATTCTCACCACGTCGCACAAAAAAGGCTTGAGAAAAAGGTCAAACAAACTGCAAACAACATAACGGATTCATTTGTCCAAGATAAAGCGCATAGGTAGCATTTTGAACTCATACAAGCAGAGAGACTCAAATGCCTATAGTAAGAGTTCGTGCCATCAATCTAGAAGGACAAAAAGTACAATATGATGCTAAAATTCGCTACCCTTTCTCACATTCAATTGGGAAGGAGAAAATACTCTATTGCTACTGTTACTATTGTTAGTAATCCAAGCGTATTGACACGTCGATCTTCACGAAAAGGRGGGGAGAATCAACGTGTTCTCTTTGTTCCTTATAGCGTGTTTTGTTGGGCGCATTTGAAACGAAAAAGTAGTGTTGGGAGGCGTTATATCGTCCTCCAAAAATCCTGCAATTGGTGGAATGWATGGTAGAGCGGCCGAGAATGCTGATCTTTCTCTGTCTTTCAAAGAGTCGTTGGTGTGAACAGAAGCAACAAAAGAATCGGGTACTTGTCTACGGATTGAAATCTGSCCTGTGGTGTCATGAGCCGTTATAGACGTGAACGATGGGGTARTGACCTCAGTGAACGAATGATGGTTTTCCAAAKGATTKGAAAGAGGGGGCATAGAATTCAGGCGCCCGTTAAGTTCCTCAATTGTATCATCGATCTGTTGTGATCGKGATAAAGGGAATGTCGTTGAAAAGTTTGATATTGAAGAGCTGGAAGATGAAAGGGGTGATAGTGRTTTGACTAGCTCTCTTGTTCTAAAGATTTCATTTGGATCGTTAGAATCGCTGCAGATATAGTTTCCTTGATGATTTTCTGGGCAGGCAGTCAAAGGAGGAGATGTGTAAAGCGTTTCGAYCTGACGATRCAAATCCAATATCTCTGTCAGAGTACTCCATTGTGAAATAAAGAGATGCAAAGAACACGATCTACTAATTCTTGTTATRTATTTACCTGTTTGTCAACRACTTGAGTTATTTTTCCTTGGGTACTTTCAATACTACCCTCGTCAAAAGCAGGAATAAAGAGCTCTGGCGTAATTGATCGAGTAATAATCTGAGCCGGGATAGAARYGATTGAATGGCGCTCACCACTGTGTGTACGTTTCTTCAGAGCGATTACCGGCGGCGAAAATAGTTCCCGCTCGACGATTTCGAATTCACCGCATGCATTATCGGTTACATGTACTTCATGTCGATGAATGTTCATTTTGATTTGGGAGCTRGTTCAAGCTGACAGTTAAAACGTTTCGACGATTAATGGTGGTGCAACAAAGAGTTCTGTCGGTGTTACGCTACACTACGAGAAGTTATTCGGTGATATTGTGACGATATCGTTTTGTAAAGAACTTGCATAAAATCGCTCAAATCTAATTTAAAGTGCGGAGTAGAAATACTTCGTAGAACTAATAGTGTACAGTACAGTACTTACATGTATGGGTATTTGACACCCTCCATGTGCTCTCCGAAAACCCGAAATAAAAGACGTACATTTACGTCAGCACCGCAAAACTGGTTCAAAGCAATTTATAATAGCCTATTCGTTGCTGAGAAATGATAGAATCATGTTTATGGCGAAATATTATAGCGTCGCCAAATTTTGACATGAGGTTCGTATAATCTGACACTTTGACATCAGAGTGAATGTATTGACGTATGATCGTTCTGTTCATTTGTGTAGGATTCTTGCGCAAGGAAACACCGAAGCAACTCTTCAATCGCAGAACGAAAACCATATGTTTGCCATCTGACCAGAAACGATTTTGTATTCGCCAGTTTTTTTATAGCCCGGCGCAAATTCATCGTCAGTTTTCGCACAGAACCCTAACTTCGACACCCATGTGACAACCTTTGACAAACTTCCAAAAAATCCGCACCCTTTCTGATCTCTCTTGTTTTTTGCGAACCCCCTTTATGTCAGATTTGATTAGTTCGAGTAACTCACCAGCAACAAGAACAAGTTCTATGTACAGATCTCACTCTCTGGCAGGTTCATTAAAAACTATTGATAATTGCAATAATTGCAGCTTGGCAGTTGGAAAATACTGATTCTTGTTTGTGTAGACCTGGTTGAAGAATGGGACATATGCATACTAGCTACTAGTAGTAAAAGTACTAGAGTAGTACTGGTACTATTATGTGGTGTATTACTAGTACTACTACTAGTAGTAGTACCACTAGTATTCTTGGTGTAAATTGTTTTTCTTGTTGTACTTGTTGCAGCAGCTCTACATACTGCTGCTTCACCTCCTTGTCCTTGCATTGCTTGTTTTTGTTTGCTGGCTTTTTCTGTTCTTGTCCTCCTGGTGCTTATCACTCCAAAAAAATACCCAGATTGTTCAACTGCTCCACAGCACTACTAAAAATTTGAGTGTGTGCTTCTTTCTCTTTCAATCTGTCATCTTTCGATTGTGACTAAGGAGGATCACAATCCACTTCATAATACTAGTAGTTCCTCAGTGGCTACTAGTACTGCTACTACTAGTACTATTACTAGAAACTTTGAGTTGAATGTAGTACTACTAATTCTTTTTGAACTGTTCTTCTTAGTACTACCACTATTATTACTACAGTAGTAGTAGTAGTAGTACTAGTACTAGTACTAGTACTAGTACACAAGAAAAAATGATGCTCTTCTACTAGTGGTACTAGTACAGCTAGTAAGAACAACAAGAAGCTGATTGTAGTAGTTCTTGTTGATGAACAAAAATGATCACCACTGCCATAGCTAGTGCTAGTACTGCTACTAACAGAAGTAGTAGTAGTATTAGTATTATTATTAGTAGTAGTAGCAGTAGCAGGAGCAGTAGCAGGAGCAGGAGCAGCAGGAGCAACAGCAACAGCAACAGCAACAATGGACAGTACCACCAACCCTTGTGGTCTCAGCTAAAATGAGGATTGCTACTAGTTGGCATTATCAAAAATATCATTGAGCAAGAAGAATGAGGAGGGAAAAACCAAACAGCCATTTTACCACCAACAATAAAAAATTGTATGGTAGCAATCAAAACCAGTGGTAGTACTAGTAGGAATTGTCACTTCCTCTTCATATCATCCAGGAGGGGTGCATGTCAGAAGAAGAAGCACCACCACCAGCACTCTCACAAACCCCAAGAAGTAATACATAGATTTTTGATGATGGGACAGTGGCAAAACTTAGATGTTGCTTTTTAATAATTCATTAGTAAGAAAAATTATGTCAGCTAACAGCTACTAGTTGTAGTACAAGTAGTAGATCTACCCCTTATGGCAAGACTCCATTCTCTCTTGTGCCATACCACCTAGGGTCTCAGGAATAGCTTGTCATCTTGGTCTGTCATTGCAAAAAGGTGTCATTCTGGTTTGCAATCACCACCTTTCTGTATTTCTACTAGTACCTTTTGTAAAGAATTTGTTTTCAAGAAAAAAGCAATCTTCAAGATTTTGTCCATTGGAAATTCATATGCAGAAGAAATCTTGCACTTTTTCATACTGTGAGAAGAAGAGCTGCATTCAGAATAGTCACCAGATTACAATTTAAGATAGTACAAATGTTGGAACAAACAACAAACCAAATATGATCAACTTCCAACCTCATCCTTCTAGTATTGCATTACAGGATTTCTGTATTTTCCATTTCAAAAGGTTCTGTGATCATTTGGCTCTTGCTAGGAATCTATGCTCAAGAAATGCTGCTGGATTGCTTTACAGGGAGGGATTTCAAGAAAAAGCAGTACTATTTGTTGTTCCTTACTACTACNCAGCATCAGCAACAGCATCAGCAACAGCATCAGCATCAGCAACTATCAAAAATTTCATTGAGCAAGAAGAATGAGGAGGGAAAAACCAAACAGGCATTTTACCACCAACAATAAAAAATTGTATGGTAGCAATCAAAACCAGTGGTAGTAGGAATTGTCACTTCCTCTTCATATCATCCAGGAGGAGTGCATGTCAGAAGAAGAAGAAGCACCACCACCAGCACTCTCACAAACCCCAAGAAGTAATACATAGATTTTTGATGATGGGATAGTGGCAAAACTTAGATCTTGCTTTTCAATAATTCATTACTAAGAAAAATTATGTCAGCTAACAGCTACTAGTTGCAGTACAAGTAGTAGATCTACCCCTTATGGCAAGACTCCATTCTCTCTTGTGCCGTACCACCTCCTAGGGTCTCAGGAATAGCTTGTCATCTTGGTCTGTCATTGCTAAAAGGTGTCATTCTGGTTTGCAATCACCACCTTTTCTGTATTACTACTAGTACCTTTGTTAAAGAATTTGTTTTCAAGAAAAAAGCAATCTTCAAGATTTTGTCTATTGGAAATTCATATGCAGAAGAAATCTTGCACTTTTTCATACTGTGAGAAGAATAGAGCTGCATTCAGAATAGTCACCAGATTACAATTTAAGATAGTACAAATGTTGGAACAAACAACAAACCAAATAAGATCAACTTCCAACCTCATCCTTCTATTGCATTACAGGATTTCTGTATTTTCCATTTCAAAAAGTTCTGTGATCATTTGGCTTTTGCTAGGAATCTATGCTCAAGAAATGCTGCTGGATTGCTTTACA